TATTGTTTCTTACCTCACTGCCAATGGATGTCTTCTAGATGCGGAAGTGTCACGACTTCAGGCCCTGCCTGTTGTACGAGACTAACCTGTGTCTGGGGCACCTTCTCGATGCTTACTTGTCACTGCTTCAGGTCCCAAGCCTGCTGTATGAGACTAACTTGTGTCTGGAGGGTTCATTTGTTGTTGAGAGAGTTTCAGACTATCTATCTAAAGCATTGCTAAGGTATGCCCCCATGCAGACTTGTCATGGCTTCAGTTGCAGCGCCTGTTGTACAAGATTAGTTTGTTTGGGAAGGAAAGTTAGTTTTTGTTATTGGACATGTTTCAAAATCTATCTCTCATTTGAGAGCGAAATTGGAGTTTCTGCGTTTGCAGTGGGACATGTCTGCAGCTCTGTTTTGAGACCTTGACCTTCACAGGTGCGGTTGATAAACAAGGGCTGCAATTATCCAGGGCCTGTTTTGCTGAGAACTTGGGGTCGTACAGCCTACGTTTGATGCATACAGGTACCCCCCATATATATTTTTTTTTTTGGGGGGGGGGGAATAGTTGTGTTGAACCTTTGTACTAGTTAACTTCACATGTTACTAATATGTCAACTTCCTATTTTACAGGTTCTAGTCTTTAATTATATTCATTATGCAAGTTATATTTTTTAAAGATCATTAAGGGCTTGTCAATGGATCATACTGCCTCACTTCTTATACCTTATATGTACCAAATGGTCCTGGTCAGTTTGATTATGTAACAATTTCTAGGAACTGTCCACGTATGGATATGTTTAAAGTCTCTTCAGGGCCGTGAGATGGAAAGGTCTCTCCAATCTGTCATTCATAAGTTGTTTCTTTCTTAGGTTTACTGACCACAGTCCAAGATTTGTTTCATAGCTGGCGAAATGTCACCATAAGAAACAAGCAGTCAAAATCATAACTGGTACAGTATTGATGAATATTTGGGTTTAATGTTGTAGTTTTTTTAAAAAAATTCTCTTATCATGTATTTATTGTCGGATTTACTTCACAGGTTATTGAAGAGGAATATATTCCTGAGTTTCATATCATTTTATTAACATTTGGAGGAGAATTTTTAAATTTTACTTTTGAGTTCTGCTGGATGGAAAGGAACTACTATATTAACAGCAGAGAGGCTTCAGATGAGTTACCATTAGGATTACAGCATAGAATGATCAAAGTTGAGCAAAATTTTAAAATGTAGAAATCATCTATTTCTCTCTATTTGTGGAGAATGATTGTGCGCC